AATTTGCCTCCAGACAAATTTCTACGTAGTCATAACTCATACTGTAACTAACTTCTCTTCCCTCATGTTTCATCCTTTCTACCTAAATCACCGAAAATACTAAAATTTTGGAGTAGTACTTACCATAACAGGAAAAACCAAGTCAACAACATCTCAAAACTAGCTGAAAAGAGAAGAAAGTGTAGCAAATTAAAGTGATCGTCAAACAAACCAGGCAAAGATTTTCCCCTCTTTTTCAGGTAATGAGTGCAGGTCTAATCCATGTACTGATTTAAAATCCTGAACCTACTCTCAACTAGAAGGAAATGAATTATTCCTCAAAACTACAACTTAGTAAGATAAAGTTAAAACGATTCTTGGCCACTGACTGTGCTTCACTATTAATGAATGTTCCGTACTCTGCAGTATTCAGCTGAAAAAGAAAAAACAGAAATACAATCAGCATCATGATCTCTAATTTTCTATGTTTCTTTAAGAGCAAGAGCCTCCCTAAATATTTAAATACAAAAGCCCCAAAAGAGTACACCTACCATCAAGGAAAAGTTAATGCTGGAGGGGTGAGGGATATAAATAAGGGGAAGGATCAAATATACCCTGTACTTTTATATATTATTTATATTTAACCTATGTTATACTATCGAGCTAAATTTATCATTACTGTTATATTATCGGGTTAAATTTACCTCTACAATCAGCAAACGTTTAAAAATACCCCTTAATTTATTAAGTAATCAAAAAACTCTCAAATCCCTTTTATTTAAATCACTTGTTGTTCTTCTTGGTCCACTATTTTTAAAATAATTGGCATTTACCTGCTTTCTGAATTAGAGAAAAAAATAAGAGAAAAAAATATTAAATAATACAACCGATTAAACAAAGTATAGTAAATTAAAAAATCTAAATTAGATAGCTTTTCTAAATTCTAAAAGTATTTACAACACTCCAATTTTAATGAATTTGTTGTACCAAATGTATGGAGACTTTGCAAGTATTAGTGATTGAAGTTGAAGTTTCTCGGAGACTTTATATTGTCTAATTCAACTTTTGTTTAATTAAACACCTATACATTTTGCACTCTTAAGTTAGTCGATCGAACTCTATACTAGCCGGGTAATGAGAAAATATATTTGAATATACATGTACATACATGATGATCAGTTGCATATAATACATAATAAATAGACCCACTAAATTCTACGGTGTGTATATGATTGAAAAATAAATAAAATTGTAAACCAATTTTATTTATTATAAAAAGAGAAATGGGTGCATTGGTAATAAAAAAAATTATGAATAATTTGTATAGTCTAGTAACTTTAGCATTCACATCAATAGTAATTTTTCAAATTAAAATAGTGGACCAAAAAGAACAACAAGTGATTTAAATAAAAGGAATTTGGAAGATTTTGAATTACTTAACAAATCAAGGAGTATTTTTAAAAGTTTGTTGATTGTAGGGGTAAATTTGGCCTGATAGTATAACGGTAGGGGTAAATTTGGCCCGATAGTATAACGAATGTTAAATGTAGACAATATATGAAAGTAGGGGATATATTTGGCCATTTTCCCTATAAATAATCTACTAGCTGAAGGTACCTATGGCTTTTCCCTGCTCTTCTCCGGTATATCTAAAGTGCAAATACTCGACATCGTGAATCAAAAAATTCGAGTGATATAAGTACGAAGGCGTTGGTCCATCGGTGCCTTAGGGGAAATCATTTGTGCCAGGTAAAAAAAAGAAATTGTCTTTGAAACTCGAAAGAGCATATTTGGTTTTAAGAGACTGTAATACTAGTGTTTTATTATAAATGAAACCATTATGGCTATCACTTTTGCACTAATCATTTGGTTTCTCATGTTACTGAATGATGAGTTGAAGAGTAACTTATAATTACATATCATTAATGACTTTTCGACTGTAGATGTCACCAGAATCTGAATGTGGACTTTGTTTACTCAAAGGCTACTTACTATCAAGTTAGCCCCTAACAATAGGAGGACGGCCAGTTCATTCTTGTCGGACTGCAGTGGGTTTCCCACTGATGGAATCTACTCAATTCAGAAACATAATCTAATAAAGTAAGCTACTTAGCTATGCCCGTATTTTGTGTACTTTTTTCTAACTTATCGCAAGTCCCATGTTCTGGTGCATGAGTCGTTATTCTTAAGCTGAAACTACACATCAAAAAGCAGCATTATTCGATAACTCAAATAATTGAAACTTAGACGATCGAGAGTTCTTGTCTGTCATCATGTATAACTGAAAGGATTCAGACATAATTTTCTTTTTAATAATGTTGGTGTCTAGGCAAAGCTTGAGCGTACCTCAACTTCCGTGACTGTCTTGGCTTTTTGTCTTGACTCTTCCTTTCTGTTATCTTGGCGAAAAATGTGACAATGGTATCGCTTATTTTCAAAAATCCCAAAAAAAAAAAAAATTCCTAAAATTTCCCTTTTCTTCACTTAATATCGAATCAAAGAATTAGTAGATCTGTTTCGCCCAAAATGGGAATGGGCTTCCTATCAATTCCTTTGAATAAGGCGCCTTGACCTTCCCTTGTTCTACCCTTCGAACTCGGAGATTGAAGAAGATCACTCTATGCAGCGACAACCGGGGGGANGGTTCTACCACTGCAGGGCCCAGTTGCCATTTTCCCATTACTCAATTCGTCCAAGTCCCATGAAGCGCCAAAGAACCATGCATTCCTCCCGGGCTGGGCTCTCGCGTGTCCGGGATCCGATCAGATCTATCAGCGACCGGTTTACGGAACAAGGAGTTAAGCAAGGTAAACAACAGAATCTGACCAAAAAACAACTGATCATGAAAGCGGCTTCAGCCAAAAGAAAATGGAAAGAAAAAAAAAAGATGCAAAGAGAGCCTAGAATCGTAGGAAAAGCAGGTCCACTGTCACAGCAATGCAGCAAGCCAGCAACACAAACAAATGATGAAGCGCAATCACAGTCTACAATGTCATGCAACAATAAACGTCTAATTAAATAGCTTTGAAATACTAGATTTAGCTTTAGCAATACTTTTGACATATAATAGCAAAAGCTCATTGCGCAGGAGTTCTCAGGAGAAGAAAAACTAAAACTTCAAAATCATTACAACAGTGAGGTCATAATTTTAATAGAGATCATTTATGCACCTTTGACATCCTCAAAGAGACAAAAACTAGGCACAAGCGTGGAGTGCATACAGTGCTTTTGGATTGATCCCTATAAATATACTTAAATAGCTTTGAAATAGATACATTTATTCAAGTTTGCTTTGATTGTCACGAAGGAATAATGAGCAATGGTAATCCGCACCCATCGATTTAGAATTCTAAATTTTGCCTCGGGGCACGTATGGAGTTGTGACAAATTTGGACATAACCATGACTGACTTCTCTTTCCCTAATAATGTTTCATCACATGCCTAATTAATGACACAAAATTACTAACTTTGGAGTACTTATCCGTAGCATGACAAAAGGAAGTCATCTACAAGCTGTGAAACCAGTAGAACGGAGAAGAAATTGCAAATTAAAAGAGGGTTGAAGTGAAATGTATTAAATGTAATGGAGAATTCAAATGTGTATAAGAACCTTCTGTAAAAATAATACTCCGTAGTACTTAATGCTTAGAAGTGGCAATATGCCAAGTGGTCAATAACTTGGTGATATATGGCTGATCAAGGAGAAAACAAAAAATGGCTGATCAACGTGCATTTGACGTTAATTTACATGACTGAATTTTAATCACTTAATTTGCAGCAACCGATCGATTTGCACTCATGAACTATGGCATGCTGCTATAGCCCCAAAAGTCAATACCGCATCCGTGAATTTTGGCATACTCTGCTCATTTTTCCCACCTCATAATCGTGATATAAGTTTGCCGTCGGCGAAACGTTTCCATCTATAACCATCTTTTACTTTCCCTCGATAACCATCTACTTTTTCATATAATGTTATAAGGCAGAATAGCCTAAATGGCTCTTATACTTGAGCCACTTTGTCATGTCGGTCCCCTAACTTAACAATTTATCAATTGAACACTTACATTCCTTCAAACCGTGTATAATAAATATTTATGACATGAGGTTGATCCTATGTGTCATATTTGGTTTTAGCGCGTGATTCACACGCTTGTAAGGGCGTGAGGGCAGTTGAAAAAGCCCTAACGGTAATAATATGGCCTATTTAACAGTCATCTTCTTCTTTCTACCTTATTCTCCATCGTTGAACATTATAGAAGCTGATTTCTATCCAAATTTGATGCCTTCTTCTTTCTCGTGTTAGCTTCAACAGTGAAAATATAATTTTTTTTTGCTGGGATTCTTCATTGCCCATCAATTTGTGCCATCTCCTTTTCTTTTGAAAGTTGATTTTTTTCTTCTTCTCCGGCAAGAAATAAGCTATTGCCGCGTCTTCTCCTTCAGCAATGAAGAAGGAACCTTTGTGTTATTGTGGACTTGCTGCAGATCTTAAAATATCACGAACACCCACCAATCCTGGAAGAAGGTTCCTAGGTTGCCGAAAATATGAGATTGGTGAAGGTTGTGGCTTTTTTCGATGGGTTGATCCTGCGATTGAGGAAGAACACTACAAGACTTTTCTTGTGGGTCTTATTAAGAAGAGTGATTGATGCCATTGTCAGAGAAGACAAGGAAGGTCGAAGTTCAGAGTTGCTGCTATTATAATTGTGGTTGTAGTTATTCTAATATTAGCTCTTATGTTATGTGTTTAAGATTGATAGCGTACTTTCTTATTTTCTGGGTTTAGGCTACATATTTTGTGTTGATGTAAAATTTTATTCATGGAATATATTGACAAAGGTTCCATTACAACAACAAGTACATGAACTACTAATGCCATGGTCTGTTATAGGCAGTTAATAAAATATTCAAAAGAAGGAAGTTGCTTTACAAAATATTATCTACGATAGGCAGTCAACAAAAACATACATAATAAAGTAGCTTTACAAAATATTGTCTACCATAGACAATTAACAAAAACATCCATCATTAAGTCTTCAAAATATCAGTTGATCACTTCAATTAATGTGTTTTGTGGCTTGGTTGCTTGGTGTGGATTGTGTTTTTGGTGTGGCTTGAGTGGTTGTAGCAGAGTTTGCCCTTCTGTAACTCTGTTCTTGCAGCTGCCTTTGTGTAACTGCAGCTCGACCCTTCCACTTTAGTTGAGGGGGTTTGAACCTAAGTTCAATGTTGGTAGGGGCAAAACTTATGAGTGTAGAAGGATTGTGTACTACTCTGTCAATAGTTCCAGACTGCACAAAGATAAAAGTTTGTGAGTGAGGGATTATATAGTAAACCATATATGTTGATTGTGTAATTAAGTGAAAATATTTACCCTCTATATCACAGTGTCACTTGAATCAAATAGCACACCATATCATGCTGCCTTTGGTCTCTTAGACCTTGCATTTGCACCACCTCTTCTAGGCTCATTGGTCTTCCTTTTTGGACCTCCAGCAACATTAGTTGATTGTTGTGTGCTTAGATTAGTGATTGGTTGAGTGAAGGTGCCACTTTCCATAGTTGAAGTTGCTACTGCTGATGCACTTTCACTAGTTCCAGCCCTTCCACATGCTGTTGTTGATGAAACATTTTCAGTAATTTCACCTCCAACTAAACTAGTTCCAGCCCTTCCCCCTTGGTTTCTCTGCATACACAAAACAAAACAAACATTAGTAATTGAATTCATCTGATAATGAGCACAAAGAATGTTAATACTTACTGCTAATGGACATCCTTTCTTGTTATGTCCAAGAGTCTTGCACAAAAGACATCTCATTTGTCTCCCTATCCTTGTACCCTTCGCAAACTTCTTCTTTGGTTCATCAGAAGCTTTTCTCCTTTTTTTTCTTTGGCCTCCCTGGTATCACACCTCCTTTTTCCCGAGGGATAGGGGAGTTTTTCGAATTAAATTGACATTATTCGAAATAGAATTATTTATTTAATTTCAGAGTTGCCACTTGGAATATTTATGGTGTCCCAAGTCACCGGTTTATTTTAAATCCCAAATCGAGGAAATTTGACTCGATTTAAAGTTTGCGAAAATCAGAAGACCGGGTAAGGAATTATGTTAACCCAGGAGAAGGTGTTAGGCATTCTCGGATTTCGTAGTTTTAGCACGGTCGCTTTAATCATACCTGGCTTAATTTATTTATTTAATTACTTATTTTAGGACCTATGTACATTTATTTTTTACCTCTTTTAATTATTGAATTATGGATTTATCTTTGAAACATATCACATATGCGTGAATTCGTTTTATTTGGGGCGCTAAAATCATGTCACGCGTACGTGTACACAATTAATCGCGCTTTATTAATTATTAAAGATTGTTTCGCCCAAAGTTGCGCGGACGCATACCTTAGTTTTAATTTTGGAAATCTAATTATGTCACGCGAACGTATACATAATCATGATGATTTGATTAATTAGGAGCGCGCTTAAAGCACTCTAACGTATTCATGGATTATTTTTCCTACTTTGAGATTATTGTGAGGCCATGACTTATGGATATTATTGTAGAAAGAGGGTAGTGTTTAGTTTACATGAAAAGGCCAATGATACATCTAAGTTATGAGAAATGTTCATTAAATAAAGATAAATCAGCTTAAAGAAAATGAAATAGGCCAAAATCGTACTCCTACAACCTAAACATATAGACATGACAAAAATAATTTAAAACTTTTCTCTAATGCTTTAATGAATTTATCCAAATATCCCTTCATGGTCTACCTTGCAGACTATTTGAAACTTAAATCTTCAATATATGAAAGAAAAAAGAAAATTAACTTCATACTTCATCCTCAGATTTCATCAAACCAATTCAAGAAGAAGAAGACTCATCAAATTAAAAAAAGTGAATCTAAACAATGAGACATCGTCAAGGCAAGCACACAAATCTAACTTGAAACTAATAACCGATAACTAAGGTTAATCTAAAAGGAGCAACAATCAATTTCAAATAAAGATGATAACACAGAGGAAGCAATTTCATGCATTTGTTCATAAATGAAGCAGAACTTTCATCCAAAGATTATGCCAAGACATAAAATTCATGTATCAACTTAAAGAAGTAAAAGATAAGATAAGGATTGGACCTTTAAACTTTTTTCATATATTATCAACATGAATTTCCAAGCTATTACACAAAAGAAGATGATCACGAACTTGGTGACTAACTGGAGACTTTAATTCGGCAACTCGAACGGAAAATTCTCTGGCGACCTCAACCTGAACCTAGTGACAGCGAACTCGAACTCGTCTCTCGAACCCTTTTTTATTCAACTAAGGGAACCCATTTTTGCTGCTTTTTGGGTGAAACTCGGAAGCTATGTTTTTGGGTGTTTAATGCTTGAAACTGGAGGTGTTAAGGTGGCATTTGATTCCTCGCTTTTGGGTGTTTAATGGCTAAAATTTGAGGCGGGTGTTAATAGAGGTTTTGTGCGTTTTTGGCTTGGGGAAGGAGGAGGTAAAAATCGAGAACAAAAGCTAGGGAAAATTGAGAGGGGTCGCCGGTGATGAAGAAAGGGTGGGGTAGCTGTCAGCTTTTTTGTGTGAGATTAATGGAGTGTTTTTTTTGGGTGAGTTTGGTTGATTCTTGAGGAGAAGAAGATGAGCGGTCGTTGCTTCTCTTGTCTCCACAAAATAAGAGAATCTCATCCCCTAAAAATTAGGGTCCTTTTCCCTTTTGAAGATTGGATAGGTATATTGGGCTAATAGATTTTGGGCTTAGGAGACAAATTCGAAATTGGGCCAAAATTTTGGACTCTTCAATTCTAAAAATTCATAAATTAACCAACTAAAACTCCTTCCCTTTAAATAATTTAAAATTAATTCCAACTAATTAAAGTAAAACTATATCATAATATGAAACTATTTTTTTGTATTTTCGATTTTATGTTTAAAATTAAAATTGAAGATAAAAATATACTAAAATTTCGTAAAATCAAATAGATACTAAAAATACTGCGAATACTAAAAATAACTCTTAAAACCCATGTGGGTCAAAAATTACGTGCTTACAGTTGTCCCTCTTTGCTTGGAAATACAAAGTATTTTTTAGCAAAGAATTAAGTAAGCAACGTAATTGACTCTGACCCGATACTTATTCAAAAGAAGGTAAAGATGGATAAAAAGATTTTGACCGAGCCCTGATATCTGAGCTGTCTACATATCCTTAGCTATAAAGGAATCATGGTACGTGTAGTTCATAAGTAAATGATGGAATGATGAGTTGAGGAGTCAAGTGAGGTTCCGTCGAGGTTCTGATCCGCGGTTCCTGCCATTACATTATAGACTGAAAGCAAAAATTACAGGAAAATAAAAGAAAATACAAGATTCTATCTACTTCTTATCTTGAATCTTCCTTGAATCTCCACTTGATCCTCAATACGAAACTAAAAATTCACTCCATTCTTCATGTGGGCATTGTGCTATCATGAATTTGAAGAAAACTGGAAGTTGACCCTGTTCTTCAGGCGGGCATCCTGCTGCTTGCACTTGAAATAAACTTGAACTTGGACTAGACTTGAGCCTGCAAACCTTGTTCTTCAGGCGGCTCATGCTACTTCTGATTGGAATTGAAAATATAGAGGTTAACCCTATTCTTCATGAGGGATCCTACTGCCTCTGACTTGAACTTGAAAACTAAAAGCTGACCATGTTCTTCAAGCGGGCTCCTGATGCTTCTCTAACTTGAACTTGAAAACTAAAAGTTGACCCTGTTCTTCAGGCGGGATCCTCCTGCTTGATCTTGAAAGAAACTTAAAGTTGACTCTGTTCTTCAGGCGGGCTCCTGGTACTTCTCTAATTTGAACTTAAATCGATTTCTGAAATATTTTCCCTCGTTCTCCAGGTGGGTGCTTGCAATCAAAACAAACAAAACGAACAAAATTTTCTGCCCCAGTTTGCACTAGAAAGATTTGTGAGTTGTTAGCAAAACTATAAATCACCTGTGTTATTAATGAAGGATGCAATGATGAGAGTGAAATTAAAGACTCGGCTAGGATGTGCGTCTCCTGTGAGTAAAACCAAGAAAATTTTGACTAACAAATGCGTCTGCTAAAAAAAACCTAAATGACCCAAACTAGGAAGTGCGTCTCCTAGGGATGAACTCAAACGACCAAAACTAGGAAGTGTGTCTCCTAAAAGTATAATCTGAAAGACCCAGACTAGGAAGTGTGTCTCCTAGGGATAAAACTTGAATGACTCAAACTAGGAAGTGCGTCTCATAGGGATGAATTTAAACGATCAAAACTAGGAAGTGCATCTCCTAAAAGTATAATCTGAAAGACCCAGACTAGGAAGTGTGTCTCCTAGGGATAAAACTTGAATGACTCAAACTAGGAAGTGCGTCTCATAGGGATGAATTTAAACGATCAAAACTAGGAAGTGCATCTCCTAAAAGTATAATCAGAAAGACCCAGACTAGGAAGTGTGTTTCCTAGGGGTGAAACTTGAATGACTCAAACTAGGAAGTGCGTCTCCTGGGGATGAACTTAAACAACCAAAACTAGGAAGTGCGCCTCCTAGGTATGAACTCAAATGACCCAAACTAGGAAGTGCGTCTCCCAGGGATGAAACCTCAAGTTAGGAAGTGTGTCTCCCAAAAGTATAACGTGAAAGACCCAGACTAGGAAGTGAATCTCCTAGGGGTGAAACTCAAATGACCCAAACTAGGAAGTGCGTCTCCTAGGGGTGAAACCTTAATTTAGGAAGTGTGTCTCCCAAAAGTATAACCTGAAAGACCCAGACTATGAAGTGCGTCTCTTAGGGGTGAAACTTGAATGACTCAAACTAGGAAGTGTGTCTCCTAGGGATGAACTTAAACGACCAAAACTAGGAAGTGTGTCTCCTATGGGTGAAACCTCAATTTAGGAAGTGTGTCTCCCAAAAGTATAACCTGAAAGACCCAGACTAGGAAGTGCGTCTCCTAGGGGTGAAACTTGAATGACTCCAACTAGGAAGTGTGTCTCCTAGGGATGAACTTAAACGACCAAATCTAGGAAGTGTACCTCCTAAAAGTATAATTGGAAAGACCCAGACTAGGAAGTGTGTCTCCTAGGGATAAAACTTGAATGACCCCAAACTAGGAAGTGCGTCTCCTAGGGTGAAACCTTTAACACAAAATTAGGAAGGGCATCTCCTAAAAAGTGTGGCCTGAAAGATTTAAACTAGGAAGTGTGTCTCCTAGATGTGGGATTGGGCTTGAGGAAAACTATAAACTAAGTTTGACTAAAATAAAACTGACCCTATTCTCTAGGAGGGACCCCTGAACTCAAGGAAACTAACGATTACCAACCTAACGAAATTGAAAGCTGACCCTATTCTCCAGGCGGGATCCCTGAACTTTAAGAAAACTAAAGATTACTAAAACTGACCCTATTCTACAGGCGGGACCCCTGAATTTAAGGAGCGCTAAAGATTAATAATGTCGCCCAAACTCACACCACAAATATAGGTAGTGAGGCGGTCGAAGCAATAATAAAACCCAACGCAAGTCGGGGTCGAATCCTCAGGGAGTTAGAATTGGGATTAGGTATATATTTAGTGTAATTGTACAATATGCCTTATATTACACTTCCACATTCTTGTTTGTTGTTTCTACTTCTACTTTAAACTATTGATTGCAATTATAAAACTAGAAGACAATATTTTTGGTATTGGTTGTTTTTCAAATGATAAAAGATCTAGGGTCGTGACTTTCACCTAGGTGATTACCTAATGGGTTAAAAACTCTAGGACAATCCTGATTAGTCGGGGTTGTAATATATCAATTACCCACTCTATACCTCTCGGTATTTTGAGTGATTTTGCCCAATTTGACTTTCTCAAGTCCAAATGGGTATTGCACAAAATAAGTGTAACTGTTCAAGTCGGGTC